GATATTAATAAAATTAATTATCAAAATAAGTTCATGCGCAACGGAAACTAATAGGAATTTAATTGCAATGATATTAACAGTTTCTCAGCACTACAAGATAAATTAAAGTCGTACTTTTTCTTTGAGTACGTATTGTGATCAATCTCAATAAAAATTGAGATTGATAGCAATAATTAGATAGCCACGAATCACGTACATGGAAACCTACTCTTCAGACGCTTTTATGAAAGTGCAATTTATGAGCTACAATTAGGATACTGAGAAGGATTAATCCTAATGACTGCGAGTCAAAGTTTAAAATCTGTTTTGAGCGCATGGGTAATTGTGATCCTTAATGTTACTTACAGGTAAACAATTATTTCTTAATTACAAAAATTATATTAATATAATTATGTACAAGAATTTACATTATTTATTAATTTTTAACTTAATGATTAAATTAATAAATTAATTTTTAACTTGACTTATTTAATTATTTTTTAGAAAGGATATTCGTGATATTTCTGAAATATGTATGTATTAAATTATTTAGTACAATAAAATTTAAAAATAGTGCTAATAAAATTTACAAAATATACGAAAGGTATAAATGAAGTTAGAAAATAAGAAATTAATTTTGTTTTACAAGTGAGAAATACAATGAAGTCTAAAAAATAAGAAGCATATTAATTTTATCCTCGAAGATTTAAAATAAAAGAATTGTTAAAATTTCTTTCAATATAGCTATTTACAATAATAATTATTTTGGTTGTTTTAAGTAACAGTATAAGTTAGGTTAGGTTATCTTTTTCCTGCTACCAGAAATAAAATTTTGAACTTCCTATTTTATAAAAAAATTATAAGATATCGTGTAATATAGTTTCTGTTAAAATTAAACTAATACAGGATCTAAAACTTATGATTAGTAACGTACCCAATCGAACCTTTCACGTAACCTTGTACGCAACCTACCTAAAAATGGAACATAGCAAACAAAAAGTGATTCCAAATGTTCAGAACGTTCAATCATCCGATCCAATTTACATAACATTAGGCTTTATAATATCAAGATACGGAAAACAGTACACTTTGAACAAGTTCCTTTTCCTTGTTCATTAATAAAGCGAGACTAACCATTAGAATACGAAATTAGATATCAATTCGCACTACTTTCGAATGACTATACGATCACGCAATTATCGAATAATATTGATTTATTAATATAAGAAAGTATTAGTAGTTATTTTTTTCGAAAGTACATATTGCACAAGATAGACCCTGCCACTCTAATGTGAATATCACCAAGTTTAAACGTTCTGTTTGTTGAAGGACGTCGAGTTTAGTAAAAAATTAGTTTATCGGAAATCTATTTGAAACTTAGTTACTCTATCATACATTTAATAAGACAGAAATTAGTCTTATTTTAAATATTGAAACGATGTATAAAAATAGAGAAGAAAAAAGAAGAAGAAATGAAGGAGCTAATTCACTACTTTATTAATATGTAAATGAAAATTGAAATTATTAAACATAATCAAAAAGTTGTCATAAGATATTAAATATCTCGCTATAGATTCAATAAGAAGTTTGCCTCTATTATAGGAAATAAAGATTTCATGTCTTTCATTTATTTCTACTAAGTCATTCAACAATTATATCTTATTTTTAACTTATTCTACAATTTTATTTTTTATCTTAACCTGTAGAATATGCTTCTTGTTTTCGTCGTCAATTCTCAAGTACTTCATCGATTCTTAAGTACCACATCCTTAATTCCTTGAATACCATATTGACAATCCTCATATCATAAAAAACCATATTCTCAATCGTTGAATATGTAACAATAGACAAGTACAAAAATAAAAAATCCAGTAGAAGATATTGCAAAAGAGGTTCACCTACAGGTGCTCCAAATAATTATACATTGTGTCCGATGTTCGAAGAGCGTGGATGAAATTCCTGGGTGTGGCGACAGCCTTCCTTGCCAGCACAAAAGACTTCCTTGGCATGTGCAGTAGTACTGTTATGTATCTTTGTTGTCTGAGGCTTTGGCGTGAACAAGCAAGGTCGATCGTTTCGGAAATAACCAACTGTTATTGGAACAAGTTTCATTTTTTGTTAAATTTTTTGTTTCCCTCGATGCGGAACTCAAAATCTAATCTTTAGTTTGCTTCTTTTTTGTTGATGGTTTTAACCTTTATATATAACGAACGCTGACGATCAAATTTTGATGACTTGTTTGAAAAGTGACCTATTAAATTATGAATTTTTTGGGGAATTTTTTACTTAATTCTTTTTGTGTTAATTTTGTTGTATGATGTCATAGTTAAAAACTCAAACTGAACAATGAACAAATAAATATTTAAATTTATTCTTTGATGAACATTAATTTAAAAAATACACAATAAACAATTATTAGTTTATCTAACTTTTGATCATTCATCCATACTGTATTTTTGCACTGTAATTTACAAATTTTTCTCAAAATTCTTGCAACATCCAAAGACATATCTTCACATTGAGTAACAATTCCACAGGGTTCAATTAAACCCACCTTCCTGTACAATAAATTACAAAGAAAGGCAGTAGATTGATTACACAAATTATCTGCACTTCCACTAAATGCCCTCAAGAATTTAAATTGTCCAGAAAATCATACAAATGCCTTCTCGTTTACAGCCTCATCATACCATTCGTGTCACTCTGAAAAATGTTTAGATAGTCAGGCCTACGCAATGCATTCATAGTTCCCGTAAATCGTTACGAGAAGAAAGTCACTAAAATGGGACGTAAATGCATTGCAATATATATTGTTCATCGAACAGGAATCTCTCGAACACAATCCGCGAAGGTGGATCGCACACGTGGGACGATGAACGGGTCGTTTACTGCCGCCTCTCGATATTATTCGAAGGTCATTCAAAGCTATTCCAATATCGCGATTTTTTAGCGACGTGTCAAGTTCACCCGCAATCGCTGTTGTGATTAATAAGAGCAAGATTCCATTTCGAAAGACATTGGTTGCTGGTCGACATTCTGTTTTCGATTTTTATCAGGAAGGTCTCTCAAGTGCATACAAATTGTCGGTGGTTTACATTGGAATTTCTGTTTCGTATGACAATCGTTTTCTAGCTGTTTTCTATTTATTTTCAATGTTATCCAGAATATTCTTATTTTTGTCTTAAGATATTTACAATTTCAAGTACTGATTTTTTGAAGAGACACTCATATTCATTCTATCTAATAAGACAAGTTCTATATTCGTATAGTTATTATTTTTTTCCTTGCATTTACATACTTCATGTTTATATTTAAATGAGTGTAAATAGCTCAGAATAAATGGAAGAAAATGTAATGTATATTTATTTTAATACGTCTCGAAAAATCAGTATGAAATGATCAATTCAATACAGTTACTTTATTTATATCTTTGGTTATCGATATGATTTTATCTTTCCTTTTCCTAACAAGTTTGCGATCTTATGAACATCTTATGTTCCATCACATGGACGTACCAAATAAGTAACATTCGAAGTGTTAATTACAATTTTTTCATATATGTCATATCTCAGCCGTTTACAAAGGTAAAGCAACTATTTGTAAAAACAATTTCCTTGTTTTAGCTTTTATTGAACATAAAATTTTATTTCACAAATTTATTAATAACCTTAATAAAGAACATATACTTAAAGAACATATAATAAATAGTTCATAATAAATATACATTATATGTGGACGATGTATACATTATATGTATTTGTTTACAATATTTGTGAATGACGTATACATTATATGTAAACAAGTTTTATATTATACGTGAACAATGTATACATTACAATGTAAATGAAGCATATATTATAATATATGTGAACATTACATACATTATATGTAAACAAATATACATTATATGTGATCAACAACAATCATATCTTTTTATGTCTTTTTATTTCCAAAAATTCAAAATTATCGTCTGCTGTGACTTTTGTGTTTGTCGAAGGGTTAACGATAACAGTATTTGATAATTTCCTTCAAATTAATGACTTATAATCTAGAAACAACCATAACTATTGTGTGAACCTTTTAGATACACCTTATGTGTATACCTAAGCTAATTGACCTTACATTGAAGGTAGAGTTTTAACAAGAGATGCAGATACGATTGAGTGCAAATACGATTCTATCACAAAGTAACTACTGATGTCAACCCACGAGCTGACGCGTGAGATTGATGTGTTTAAAAGAGCTACGACACAATTGGTCAGAGTAGAAAATGCCTTCCATTCCCAAATTCGTGCGTACGCAAATTGCTTCAGCCGCAAATCGCTATATCCCCAAATTCCTACATTCCCAAATCGTTACGACCCCAAATGCCCACATCCCCAAATCCCCACAACCCCAAATCCGCACATCCCCAAATTTCTACATCCCCAAATCCCTACATCCTTAAATCTCCACATTCCCAAATCCCTATATTTCCAAATCCCTACATCCCCAAATCCCCACATCCCTAAATTCCCACATCCCCAAATCCCCAAATCCCCAAATTCCCATATCCCCAAATCCCAGCATCCCTAAATCTCTACGTCCTCAAATCTCCACATCCCCAAATTCCCACATCCCCAAATCCCCACATTCCCAAATCCCCACGTCCGCAAATCCCCACGTCCCCAAATCTCCACGACCCCAAATTCCCACGTCCCCAAATCCCCATATCCCCAAATCCCAGCATCCTTAAATCCCCACATCCCCAAATCGCGTCGACTCCAATTGCTCAGAATAAAAAAATGGACTCACACGTATTCTCGGCAGTACATTGACTCTCGCGGTCGCACACCAATCAGGCCAAAAACAATGACAGGCAAACGTCCCGAGAGTGAGATAGAATTGCGTTCAGTAGTTATTGTCATTATTATTCTTACTTACTGAAATGTAACCAAGTGTTCACGGTGGATAGAGCTTCTTTTACTTTGGGTCACGCGCCAACTCGTGGGTTGACATCTGTACTTACTTTGGGTCACGCGCCAACTCGTGGGTTAACATCTGTACACGTGAACGTAAGAGGGTAGGAAACGTGTAATGATAGTGTAAACAATGAAAAGTGTGAATGTAACTAAATCGTGGAAGTCTTAAGAGGTAGAAGAGCAAACAGAACTGGTAAGAGAAGAGGTAGAAAGATGAAGAGGTAGAATTTCGCAGAGGAATCATAGTAGCGTCGCAATGTGTTCAAAAAGGAAGAAAGGTCAGAATTACGGAAAACGTGCAGAGCTAAGATCTTATACGTGAATACAGTTGGGACTGAAAATTGTCAGAAAGTTATATGCACCTTGTAACTTCATCTTCAAACCACTAATATACTAATAATAAGCAAATTTATGTGAATAACTTGCTACTAATTGTACAAGTTACGGAGAAAAGCGAAGACTACGAACAGGAATTCTAATAAAATCCATGAAGTTGAAAGTAAAATTAAGTGAAATGTTCTCAGTGCATGATCGACATTATGTCTAACTGGTTAACATTTAAAGGAGAAATATGTGCAGTAAACTTGTTTGTAACAGAAAAAATACTTGAAACCAAGCAATGTGAAGTATTTGGTACTTTGAATAATAAAAACATTAGTGTTAACATATTTGCAACATTGTGATATAAACTATAATACCTTTTATAATTCTTTTCAGTAAAATTCTAAAAGGAATACTATCATGGTCGAAGTCAATAACTTGGATTTGGAGAGATCGAAACCCAACATATGAACGCTAAAACCACTAACAATTTTATCATTCGATATATTGAACAACAAACATCACACATTCGATTAAAATTCCTTCTATCCTTTAAACATTAACTGTCCCTAAAAATGAAAACTGTAATACTTTAAACCGTACAGGGCCGCTTCAACTTTGAAAACAGATCATTTCGATATGAAAATTAAATTTGACTACCGTACTGAAGCAGTTGAAAATTTGATTTATTTTCACTTTTAATAAACCTTGTCTAATATTTTGTTATACCATTCGCAGTTTTAAGTAGCTGATACGAATACTTCAAACTAGTTCAATGAACAATTGGAATGAAAATGGGATGAAAATTTAAGCGTCACCAAAATGTGGTTAACGTGGCAGTCATGGTTGAATAAAAACTGGCCCTAACTATAATCTATGCAACGCATCCGAAAATCGTTATAAATAACTCATTATTTACACATTGGAGCATGATCAAAGGATCTCTATCGCCTGTAATTAACCGTGTAAGAGGCTAAACCAGCGTTGGGATCCACGGGTGCTGGACGACCTTGCAGACCACTTTGAATCGGCGCGCTAGGATATGACTGCTGCTGGCCCTGATATTGCGGTTGATACTGCGATCGATATTGTGGTCGATATTCTGGCTGGTATTGCGGCTTTGGCTGGTATTGCACTTGTGGTGGAGGCCTGCAATGTCGACAATTTAATTTTATTGTTTAATTAACATTACTTGTTATCCTCATTGAAATTCTCAAAAATACTGACAAATATAATAATACATTTTCTATCTATACATCTATGATCTTTCAATAAATACGTAGGTTTTATGCAAACAATTATGCACAGAATGATTATATATTTAGTTAATATTGACTGACTAATTTTAAGCAATGTATCAATTATGAATTATGTATCAATGTTTCAATTATTAATATAAATTATGGAGCAAGTGGAGATACAATTGCACATGTGTTTTGTTATTAACAAAATAATGTTTCAAATTGTTTTCTTCATTAATATCTTTCAATAGAATATTGAATAAAAATATTATAGTAGCTAATATTACTTTGATATTAATACTAAAAATTGATACTAATGTAATAATACCAACAATTACTTTGAATAATATTATTCTTGAATACGAAATAGTTCATACATCATAAGTATAATTATTTCAACTCCAATGGAAAAATTGTAAAAATAGAAAATATGCACAACCATACAAAATCAAACTAATCCAAGTAAAAATTAGATCGTTCAATTTCATACAAATGTTATAAATGTCTCTATCTGTATCCTATCTCCCTGTATTCTCTACCTATTATTTTGACTGTATTACATAAAAATTCATACTAAATTCAGTCGACAAAATTATTTAACCACCAACCTTGGAGGGTTGTAAATCGGCGCCGGAAGAGGTTTCGGTGGATTGTAGGTCAAAGGTTGACGAGGAGCCGGATCATAACGTTCTCCATTCGTGTACCGAGGATCAGTATAGTAAACAGAAGGATCCTCCCTATATTGACCGTCGTCCTCAGGTGCGTTTGGGTTAGCAATGCTATTGCCGGTTAGGGTTGGAGGAGGCACGTTTATTCCAGGACCAGCTGGCTCGAAACCACGCCTGGATGCTCCATATTCCACTTCTCGAACGTTTCCGGTGTCATCCACGAATCCGTATTTTCCGTATACTTCACCGGTCGGGTATTTTGACTCGATTTTGTAAGAACCGTCTGCTGCTTCGTATCCGTAACTGTAGCTGCCATCTTCGTTGTGTCTAATCAAAAGACAATTGATCAGAAGATTGATTACATTTTGATGAGTACTAAAGGTAATTCTTCAAACTTCCAAATTGATAAACTCTTCAATTTTTACGTTCTAAAATGTTCAAATTGATAAATTCTTAAATTTTTGAGTTCTAACAATTTTGTTAAAGCTTCTTTCTATTAACACTTGTTTCTGTTGGTAAATCATAGTTGTTTCAAGCTTCTGTTTTCAAGTTTAAGTTAAAAATCTTGAAGTTTGTTCTAAGAGCAAACGAACATATTTTACCTATGTTTATTGTTGCAAAGAATGATTGCAATTGAAAGAAAAATTGAAAGAAAATTTTGATTTCGTAAGAAGCAGTAATTTTGTAACAGAAAAATTTTATAAGGTTCTATAAGATTCGACTAATTGAAAAGTTATGAATTCTTATTCAAGTTTAACGTCGAAGCTAAAATTCAACTCCTTCAAAATTAGAAAATTTCTTGTATCCCACTTGTTCCCAACTATTTAGGTTATTCTCCTTTATCTAAAATTGTACTTAAAAATTTCATTGTATCTTAAGCAAACTATGTATCGTATTTCGTCACACATGACCTCGTATGCTCCCTGCAAGTCGCCCGATTAATTGCCCTCGATAAAAGCACGAAAAAAAAGAAACATTCGAGGCATTGTCACGATCCGTCTGTTGAAACCAGGATAGCGAAACGGTACTTACTTGTTGATTTGCTTCAAAATGGGCACCGGCGTGGTCACGTATTGATTGTGCTGGGCGAACGCAAGGCCAACGCAAAACAAGAGACACAGCACCTGGTGACACAAGCTTGCATAAAATCGTTGGCACACACACGAATCACTTTCCAATAACCTCGTGCAGAATGAAAAACAATCGAGATCGCTACTTGAAATGCACTTTTACTTTAACCTGGTAACTGAGTCACTTTTCAACCAGGAAATGGCTCACACTTGTCGTGAAATATAATTATCTTGCGCGTGGCATGTATCTTTATAATTAAAATGAAATTATGAAGGAAACTTGGTTTAATTAGTTTGTGTTTTTACTTGGGTAATGTGTTAACTTGTCTTCGGTGGGTTCTGCTTTTCAGTTTGAAAGTGTGTTTTTGAGGATTTCTAAATGATTATTTTGTGGAGGTAAAACTTTAAGGGAGGTGAAATAATTTCATTTATTAGGACTGTAATCGATCGACTCTTATTTTTCATTTCTTTCGTGTATTTTGTTATTGAATTTTTTAAGTTAAATAAAAGGGATGTTTTAGGTTAGTGTGAGAATATAAATTATATGAATTGTGGAGATAAGTATGTGTGATTCAATGAAAGAATCATAAGAAATACTATCATCAATCACAGATATAAGATGTACGAATATGTTTTTCATCTGTATGACAATTTTACGAAATTAAATTTTGCGTTTATAATACATTTCTAAAAGGAGATGTTACTATTAGTACTTGTTATTGTTATCAGCCATGTATTTCAAGTAGTCACATGCTGAAAATTATTATAAAATTGTTACCTATTATTATTAGACAATTTTCGAGATTCCATAATCCATATCATTAAAAATTTGACTTTCGAAATTAAAAATTTTTGTCGTAAGTATCTGAAGTCACAGAATAGTTATAGAATTATATTTGAAGTATGTGAAAATAATACCTAAATACTACGTAATGAAATTTTTACCAAATTTAGTATGACAGCCAGTATATTGAAATCTACTGTGAAATACAATTTTTTGGCACTTTCACGGTCACTGTCACGTATTCGTAACTTTCTTATGCAGCTTTCTACTTCGTTACCCTTTAATCAATTTTACACACCAGTATTATACTTTACAAAAAAATTCAACTGTCTCGAATAATAAAATTTGTTTATTCTATCAACTCCTTGCCACAAAAGAAAATACATTTTTCACTGAAAATTAAATAAAATTGCAAATATCGTAAGTTCACGAGTAAGTAAGTATTTGACAAAGATTTATTTTACATCATGAAAAATTTGCTTTCATCAAAAAAAAAAACTTAACGAAAAAGAAGTGAAACACAAACAAAAAGTTGAAGGTTATAAAACTTAAATGTTAATTGCATATTTAGGTAGTAAATGCATCAAATGGTGAGAAGTAAATACCTTTGTAAACGCATTAGAAAGGACTAGATCAGCACGTTCTAATTCGCGAACATTCTGTGTGTCTTTATAAGTGATTAAAGATGCAAATCATTAGATACGCTTATTAGTAAAACAATCAAAGCCTATGTTAAACAAATTTAGAAGTAAAAATTTGTACTTATCCAAAAATCGAAGAACATTGATCTAGTACAGCAATCTTTGTTTATACAAATTTAATTATTGAAATTTTATGGTAATTTTGTTCCTGTGTGTATTCATAGATACATCTTTAATAGTTAAGGATTAGAGAATAAAATGTATTACTATTCAAATGATTCGTTTGTCAATAAAGTATGAGAAGCACGTTGCATAATTGCCTTTTCTGCAACACTGTAGCAGACAGTATCAGGTTGAAAAGTGAAATTAAAAGATAACCTTGTTAATAATTTGTGCTATAGTGTGACCACAAAAATTTCACTCCGTTAACACTTAACGGATACGTTCTTCTTCTGTGTTTTCCAGTTTTTGATAATTTTTTAAGAATATTAAATGAACGAGAATATAGTACTTTTAAAGTGTCATGGTTTTAAGTCAGCGCCATTTTATGTAAAACTTTGCAAGATCCTTTATTCGCATCTCTAACATTTCTGAAGAATACTATATTTTGTAAAATATTCACCCTTGTAAAGTGTACCTAACAGTAATCTAACAGTATCTGACAGTATTTAGTAATTTCTAAAATAACATTTACTAAAAAAATACTACCTACAAAGCAAAACTGTGCAATGGTAGTAGCACTGTGTAGTACAAGAATAACTAAAAACCCCAATGCACATAAAAACGAAAAACTAACGCAGCTCAATAAAAATTATAGCAAACCACAAGTCGTAATCCATCTCAGTCAAAAAGGAAATCTCAAATTTAGTCCATCCGTTAAGTGTTAATTTCAGCTATTCTCTAGAGTACTTAAATCACAAGCCTAACCTTCATGAATTTTTAGTGCAAGCGCCTATAGCCAAGAATGTGCACGTTCGTTTACTGAAGTTTAGTAGATACTGAATGATCTTCAGAAAAGTACGTAATGGATTAAACGAAAGCAATTAGTGGAACCATGCTTGATACTCTCAGGAAGAAAGAGGACACTTATGGGCGAAAGGAGGAAAAGTGAAGAATACTCACGGGAAGATACATGTCTGGTCGTTGATGAGGCAAACGCGATTGTGTATTATAGAGTCACGTTTCCACGGCCGCGAGTCAACTTATATAGGCCCCCATCGGGAGCGGCGGGGCCCGCCCATGGGCCCGACCACCGCCTCAACGTCGTCGCAATCTAAGTACGAGAGTTCATCGTACCGCGACACGACTTTGAAAACCATGGTAGAAAATCGCCCAATTTAACGTTTCTTCAGCTTTGATTCTACCCCTTTGTAGTTACTTTTATCCAAAGTATAGATATCGCAGTGATTGGAAATATTTTTGTATCTGGGTGTTTGACTTCCATGGCATTCATATGTGGATGATTTAATTTTTATTTTAAATTTGAGGAATTTTCATATGAATGAATAGTTTTTATGACTTTGTACTATCCTTTGAACTTGTATCATTTACTCTATGTCATGAAACTTTGTATAACTCTACAGTATTATTTGAAGCTTGCATAATTTTACATCTTCGTTTGAACCTTGCCTAACTTATTCTATGCCATCATTTGAGCCTTGTATAACTTACCCTACCTCATCATTTGAACCTTGTATAACTGAACGGTATCATTGGAATCTTGCATAACTCCACACTCTCATTTGAACATTGTATAACTTACTCTGTACCTTCATTTGAACCTTGCATAACTTTACGTCATTTGAACCTTGTATAACTTACTCTGTCTCATCATTTGAACCTTGTGTAACTCTTAACATGTCCACATCACATCACATCATAATTTAAACCTTGCATGGATTTATAGCACCATTTGAATCTAGTGTAACTCTTCACGTGTCCACATCACATCACATCATAATTTAAACCTTGCATGGATTTATAGCATCATTTGAATCTAGTGTAGCTCTTCACGTGTCCACATCACATCACATCATAATTTAAACCTTGCATGGATTTATAGCATCAATTGAACCTTGTATACCTAACCATATCATCATTTGAACCTTGTATATCTAATTCCACATCATCAATTGGAGCTTATATATCTAACTCACGTCATACTCCTAACGTCATACACCTTGTACACCTAACTCCATATCATTAGTGTCTCATCATTACAACCTTTCATGAATAACTTTCTCTGCCTCATCATTTGAACCTTGTATAATTTAGTCCAAACCATAATTTGAACTTTATACAACTTACTGTATGTCATTATTTGAACCTTGCATAACTAAATGTCATTTGAATCTTGTATAACTTACACTACACCATAATTTCAACCTTGTATAACTTACTGTACACCATCAGTTGAAGCTCGTATATCTTCAACATTACTTAAACCCCACATCTACAGGTCCAACACAACTTTAACCTAATTATAAGCTAAAGTTTGAGCCTACTTTCTTTCTTTCAAAGTTGCATTAACTTGTGATTTTATCTAAAATAACTAACTCATTAGCACGTATAAACGTCCAAACGAACGTGTGCAGTATATCCTTACGTGCAGTCCTTATATCTTCACATATCCTATCCATAACTGCATGAGAATTAATTTATGATACAGAAAGACAAATTGAAACAAGAAACGTGAGAATTTCGTAGCAAAATTAGAAAGTAAAGTTTGAAATGAATTGCGTAAGATAATGAGGCTTTTAGTTCTTGCATTAAGAGAAATTTGAACAAAAGTATCTCAAGGAAGAGAGGATTTATAAACATTTATTGCATCGAAAAAATTATAAAAAGAAGATTAGAAACAAAGGACATTGATCAATTTCTTCTTGAAGTAGAAAGTGAACTTTGAAAAAAGCGATGGTAGAAAGTGGAGAAGTTCGTAGCTCTTTCCATAAGTAACATTTTAATAAATGATTCTATGTGCCTTGAGAAATCATTTCTGTATCCCGCAGTTCCTGTATTTTATAATTTCCAAAAATATTTAATAAATTAAATAATTTTGTAACAAGTCTTGCAAATTTTAGATGAGTGAAAATATTTGAAAAAGAAGAATAATTTTTCTTTAATGAAAATTCTTATCAAAATTTTTTTTTACTTTTATTGTTATCTATTTTATTGACCCTTCAATATAAATTTTTATTTGTAAATTTCTACTTGGAGTTTCGGACTTCAATGTATTTCACAACTGTAATGCAGAAGGTTCTCGATATATTGCCGCTTCTGCGCGGACTTTCATGCAAATGGCGTACTCCAACCATTGTAACAAAGATTCATGGAAATCAGTATAACCTTACTGGAAAATATAAAATTATTCAAAGATATAACATTACTCAAAAATATAACATTGCCAGAAAAAAATGTAAAATTAATTTTTTAATAAAACCAAGACATTGTCAATTTTTTTCATTTCTACATCTATTTCCGATAATTCAAAGTCGAGTCTTTAAACGAATCATACATAAATATCGTTTTCCTTAATGTCTGATTCCATAAATAATGATCCATCGATCTACTATTACAATTTCACTTGTCGGAAGATTTTGATAAACCATCGTCTAACATTCTTTCCAACGGCATCAATTTTCATTTACCGTCGAGCGTGACGTGTCTCCGGTTTTCGGAGCGATGTTACACAACTTGCGGTTGGAAAACTTCGAATAAATTATTACATCGAGAAAAGTATCTACGGTGATTGATGATTGCCGTTTTAAAAATCGTAAAGCATACACGAATTTCAAGTAAATGGCGCTTAAATGCTAATATGGCATAATACTGATTAATTCGTTTCACTTTTCATCGCGTATTTGTAATTAATATCAATGTGAAATAATTAGTGGATGATACATTGCTTACATTTATAAGTTCTGGCTACTTCATTTTTCATTCGGGAATAATATTTTATACAAGTTTCAAGGAAATGTTTCGAAGAAAGATTTTTAGACATTTATTTTACAAGCTTCAATTTTTTTGTTTCAATGAAATGAATAAGACAATTGGATATTTGTAGAAAAAATATTTTCAAGTTCAAGCTATTTCATTTTTCATTCAAGAATATTCTAAGCAACAAATTTTTTGTTGCAATGAAATGAATAAGACAATTGGATATTTGTAGAAAAAATACTTTCAGGTTCAAGCTATTTTGTTTTTCATTCAGAAATAATATTTTATGCAAGTCTCAAGGAAAGATTTCAAACAAATATTAGTTGAATTACAACAAATTTTTGAGACATTTATTTTAATTTTTAGAAGTTTCAATTTTTTGAACCTTTTGTTTCAATTAAATAAATAAGACAATTGTAGAACAAATATTTTCAATACAATTTTTTAGATAGTTAAACAAATATTTCAGTAAATAAATTTAAATACGAAATTACAAAAATTGTTTTCATACGAAATTGATGAAAATATTAAACAAGTGGAATTCACTAGTACGTGAAGAACTTCGCTATTAAAATTTAGTTTTCAAATTCACCCAAGGTTACTACACCCTTATTAATTATGAACATAAAAATCTTACATTCACTAAATTATAATATTAAATTCTTTCGTGATTCTCGTGTCTAGTAAATAAACGAAGCTCTTCAGAGATTCAAAAATTTGATACTTGAGTAAAACATAAAGATAATGGTGGAAGTGAAGTTTCTTGACTGACAGATGTGCAATAATTGCCATGTGTAGATTCAACGGGAAGCCCTTGATGTACGTGCGTACACGATTCTCGTGGAAACACGGTTTTGCAAGGTGATCCTCTCGGGAATTAATATTTTTTACAAGGACACCGTGTGTAATATTGTCTGCAAAAATGAGTGGTGTCTTCGTTATGTTTCTACTTTATTGACCGAAGCTGGAATATAGACCTTCCATGCTCATTATTGCCAGTTTATTTTAATTATTCCGTTCAGATCCTTTGTCTTTAAAAGTTCTTGGAATGTTGCTCACTGTGCACAATGATAGTACGATTACTTGAATAAGTGACGTAGTAATAACATAAACCACAGGGAGGTTTTGAGAGAATAATAATTTAAGGAATAAGTTTCGGTACTAAAATCGTAAAACGTCTTGTCGTTTTTATAATAAATATTATAACCGATAATTGACATATCTGATTGTCAACGATCGATACAGGAAACTTAATTAACTGTTACGACCTTTGGGTCCTTTATGACCCTTCTGCTTAAAGGTTATTAACTGTCAGTGATATGTTTATTGATATTCTTTCGATGAGTAATGAAATTTTTATTCTCATGGTAAGAAGATTATTGAGCTACTAAATTAGAGAAATTTATTTGTCATGAAAGTTCATTGATTCGTCATGAAAATTAATTGATGTGGTTCAGAAATGATTCACAGAAATTGTTTTAATACAAAAATAATTCACAAAATGTAACTAATTTGGTACAAAAATGTTTCACATAATTTAACTAGTTTGGTACAGAAATGCTTCACAAAAATTAATTGAATTATGAACAAAAATTATTTGAAGAAATTAATTGATTTAGTATAAAAATTATACAAAAATGGGTGCTGAAGTTTTACAAGAAAATGACTTGAATTAATAAGACAGAAGATAAAATATAAATAGTATAAAACGACTAGAATAATTAAATACATCTGAAGAGAACAGAAGAGGTGAAGGTGAGAAGAAAGAGGGTGGAAAGAAGGAAGAGGAAACGGAAGTACAAGCTCAGAATAAAAAATAGAAGAAGCAAGAGTGACTTAAATGAACAAACTAATAACATAATAATAGACAAACTAGTAATATAAAACTGGCTGAGTAAATGTATATCACGTGACAGAAAATTAGCTTGTATTTACACATGTGTTGTCATAAGTGTAATGTGTGAAGTCCATACACATTTTGTGCTAGTTAAGAATGAAATCAGTACAAAGTGTTGCTGTACTTACAAATGACCGGTTAACCGAGAACTTTCCCGATCATATAAGAGAACTTCTTGACATTTATCGTAGTACTAAGGGTATTATAACGCTTAGAGTGAGATACACTCCTGTGGCGATCTTGCAACCTGCTCGATTCGTGAGAATCAATTTCTGTAGAAATAGCTTTCACAGAAATATCTTTTTAAGTTGCACTCGTCTTAC